CAAATGGATAAACCAACTGTGGTGTTCTCACATAATGAGATATGGCTTAGCGACAAGATGGAACCAACTTCAAATGCACATGACAACATAAATGAATCCCAACAGCATGTCTTACTAAGTGAAAGAACGAAGATTCAAAAGGTGATACGCCAAATGATTCCCTTTCTATGACATTCTTTAAAAGGCAAAACTGTAGGGTCAGAAAATGGATGAGCGTTCATCTGGGGCTAGGGGTAGGAGGAGGAGATAAATAGAGGTGGCTTGATGGAACATTGTGGGGGGGTGTGGAACTCTTCTGTACCTTGATTGTAGTGAAGGTTATATGATAATATGTGTGTGTTTAAATTCATAGAAATGAAAAAAAAAGGTGAATTTTACTATATGGAATTTTAACTCAATAAAACTGACTCCCAAATCCATTATTCCAGAAAAACGGAAAAGCTCTCAAGTGATTGAAATCAATAGTCATTGTTGAGTGTTGTTCTTGGCATAACAGATTTGTACTCAGGCTCTGTCATTTAAACCTTGGTTTTCACATATGTAATTTTGGAGATAATAAAACCTACTTCTATTGTTTGGATGTAGTTTGTCCCCCAAAGGTTCATATTTTAGTAGCTTGGTCCCCAGTGTGGTACTGTAAGAGGTGGTGAGACCTTTGTGTGTGTGTGTGTTTGGGGGGGGTAGCGCTGATTGGGAGGTGCTTGGGTCCCTGAGGGTGCTGCCCTCAAAAGGGATTAAGGTGGTTCTGGTAGGATCCTGGTTAGTACCTTTGAAAGTAAGTTGTCCTAGAAGAGTAAAACTGACCCCTTTCCTGTCTCTAACTTTCTGTCTCAYCATGTGATCTTTCCTTTTCTTTTTTTTCCAGATTATTTATTTATTTATTTATTTAAGAAATAAGTGACAGTGGAATGCATTAAAATTCTTACTACACGAAGACAGCACAATTTTTCATATCTCTGGTTGTATATAAAGTAGGTTGACACCAATTTGTGTCTTCATACATGTACTTTGGATAATGATGTCCATCACATTCCATCATCCTTGCTAATCCCCTGCCTCCTCCCTTTCCCTCCCTTCCTTTTCCCTATCTAGAATTCATCTATTCCTCCTATGCTCCCCCTCCCTACCCCACTATGAGTCAGCCTCCTTATATCAGAGAAAACATTCGGTATTTGTTTTTTGGGGATTGGCTAACTTCACTTAGCATTATCTTCTCCAATGTCATCCATCTATCAACAAATATATGAAAAATGTTCATCATCTTTAGCAATTATAGAAATGCAAATCAAAACTACTCTAAGATATCATCTTACTCCAGTCAGAATGGCAGCTATTATGAAGACAAACGACAATAAATGTTGGTGAGGATGTGGGGAAAAAGGTACACTCATACATAGCTGGTGGGACTGCAAATTGGTGCAGCCAATATGGAAAGCAGTATGGAGATTYCTTGGAAATCTGGGAATGGAACCACCATTTAACCCAGCTGTCTCTCTGCTTGGTCTATACCCAGAAGACTTAAAAACAGCATACTACAGGGACACAGCCACATCAGTGTTTATGGCAGTACAATTCACAGTAGCTAAACTGTGGAGCCAACCTAGATGCCCTTCAGTGGATGAATGGATTAAAAAAATGTGGCATATATACACAATGGAATTTTACTTAGCAATAAAAGAGAACAAAATCATGGCATTTGCAGGTAAATGATCTTTCCTTTTCACACATGATGCCATCTGCTATGATATGTTATAATCAAAGGGGCACTTCTCCAGAGTTGGAGCTATATGTTATTTGTATGTTACCCAGATTCTGATATTTTTTATAGCAATGGAAATAGACTAATATGCTTACCTAAAAAATACAATTACCTTGAAATATTGTGCTATATGGTGAGCACTTAACATAGGGTTTGGCACAAAATAATAATAATAATCGCTTTTTCAGTGCTATGTGCTAGGCAATATATGGGCAATTTTTAGGCATCTAATTTAGTTTTTATATCGGTTCTATGAAGTATGTATTTTTATTTTTAAAGTGGAGAAACTGAGGCTCAGAGAAGTTATGAAACTTGCTCAAGCTGACTGAACCAGATCCCRAGCCTGATTACTGAACCATTTCAAAATCTATGTTTTAAATATTCCCTTCTGACCTCATTTTCTAGCCTCCCATCTCACTTTTTCAGTATTTTTATTCCCATGATTTCCTGATCTCGTTGAAACCTCCAGTTTCCACCGATCCTACCACTATTCATGAATCATCCTTGCTTTCATGTTTTCACTTTTCTCCTCGTTCAGCCAACATTATGTTGTTCAGCATGGTTTGCTTTTCCTTTGCAAATGCCCTTAATTCCACTGCTCTTTTCTTCCTGGGCTCAAAAAAGCCAAATCTAGTTATTCTAATTAGCAATTATTGCTAGAGATAAATATACCACTGTGGAGATTGGACTTACCTCCAGGTGAGCCAGGTTTTAACAAAGGCCAGAAGGAGGTAAGGGCCATGTATGCACAGGGTGGAGATAAAGGGAAGATGGACTACTGTGGGATGAGAAGCAGTGGGAACTTTGATCACGGGGGAGGCAATCTGGGGATGAAGATATGGGTGTGGACAGAAGACAGTGGGGTGAGGGGGACTTTAGTGACCCAAGATCTCAGGAGTGAGAGCCCTGGTTGAAGAAAACTGCTGGCAATATGCTAACATTGGCATGAGTTATTTTGGTCCTGGCCTTGGCTGGGGCTWGGAGGATGCTGGCCGGCCCCAGCAGGGAGATGAGTCAGTTGCAAAGTGCAGAGGCGTGTTCTTCATGGGGCCATGTGTGGCGAAGGGGAGAGGCAGGGTTTTTTTTTTTTCCCCCCTCTGGTGCTTGATATCATGGTGAAGACATCGACATCGGTTACTGGGAAGTGCCAGGGTCCGTGGTGGAGTTGGGCCGGTGATGTGCTGGTGGATGTTTAACAACTAACCCCCTGAGAAACAGCCACACAATGACAACAAACACAGAGTCCCACCATTGCTGGTTTCAGGTCAACAATGTAAAATCACTGCTTGTAAAGTTGGAAAGAGGTTTGCACAGCCAGGGATCTTGGCAGCTGGTGCAAACTGGCTCCAGCCCAACACTGCGCCCATCTGTGCAAAAGTCGAGATTCTATAGTGCTTATGAGAGCTGAGGCAGGAGGCAGGTTCCCGGGATGCAACTCGACCAGGTTCTGGTTTCTGTAGCACTGTGAAGGATAATTCATGATCTACTCCCAGGAATCATTGTGGTCTGGGGTCTGAGTCAAAATAGTTACGGGGATCCTGGCACGGTGGCACATGCCTGTAATCCCAGCAGTTTAGGAGGTTAAGGCAGTAGGATTGTGAGTTCAAAGCCAGCTTCAGAAACTTAGCAAGGCTCTAAGCAATCCAGTAAAACCCTGTCTGTAAATAAAATTTGGAAAAGGGCTGGGGATGTGGCTCAGTAGTTGAGCACCCCTGGGTTCAATCCCCAGTACTATAAATAAATAAATAAATAAATTTAAAAAAATTTAAAAAATAGGGGTTTAGAGAAAATTGTGTAGGCCTTATTAGCTGGGAAGAACCTGAGGCATCTGCCTCCTAGGTGTGTGTCTGCCTTTTGTCCTATCATCTCTGATAATAATTTTAGACCTATGGATTTCTGATGAATAAATTTCTTCATCAAAGATGTTCGAAAACAATTGTGATCATGTTACTAGAATTTCAAGTACCCACCACATTCACTCATGTGAATAATTTATTTTCATCTATAAGGGAGAACAATCCTCCATTCTGCAGAAACTTCAATTATTAGCATATTCATGCATATGAGAGAGTGACTTCAGGAAAAGGGGACAGTGGTAAGACTGACAGGAAGATCAGTCATGACAGATCTTTTTCTTATCAAATTAAAAAGGGGTCCGATGTGAACCTGCCTACTCTCAGGTTGTGTGTTGGTGGTCTCTCCTACATGCATGGTGGTCTCTCCTACATGCATGAAGGCCACCTAGGCTGGACGGATGGTGTCAGTGTCATGCTTTTCTTGTAGTGGTGTATACTGAACTCCTGGTGGGAGTTAGGTCCCTACTTCTTTTGCAACATTTGAAGGGACCAAACGCTCACTGCCTGTCATGGGTTGATCCATAAGAGCTGCCACATACAAAAACCATTTTACTTYTGCAACATCACACTAAGAAGCAGGAAGTTTTCCTTTTCCTTCTTTTTCAAGTTGTCCATTGACCTACTTCAGGTATTTGGGAAAGGTACTATGGATTGCTACTCAAGAGAAGAGGTGGGAAGAGGGAAAGGCAATGGGGAGTCATCCCACAAATTAGAGTCCCACCTTTGCTGGTTTCAGGTCAACAATGTAAAATCACTGATTGTAAAGTTGGAAAGAGGCTTGCACAGGTATATCCTGGCACCTTCTTTTTTAAAGTGAGTTTTGTGACTGTAAAGGGAAGAGAAGGAGCTAGTTGCTCAACCTCTGTAGATGATCAATCTGCTGAGGTGGTTGTGGCAGATGGCATTTTGTGATTCTCACAGTGACTTTAAATCTCCTAGCTTGGCTTCCTTCTTGGGAGGTACAGTGACAGTTTAAAGCTTATTGAACCCTAATTACGTCAGATTTATTGACTTATCATTTTGCTACTCTATTCTTTGTTATTATTTTTTATCCTTTGCCCCTCCCCCTAAAGGATTACCTATCTTCAAATATGAGGGAGAGATCGAATAAAAATAGAGCCATCAGAACATAACAGATAATGAGAAATTGGGAGACATCTGGGCGCCAGAATAATTATTTGCATTGAAAAAACAAAGAAAAAGGAAGATATTACAACTGAGTCAAAACCCAGTCCCAATCCCCCTGCAATGAAGGCCAAAGAGAAAACAGTGAGCCAGTTCACTGCCACTTAGTACATCTCATCACCAAATACGCTGGAAAAATGGGATGAGCAGTACCTAGTTCAGCAAGCACGCCATCCACTTCTCTTCCCTGAGATATTTACCTGATAATATAGATGCAACGGCAGCAATGATGAAGGACACAATGACACCAGGTCCCGCCATTTCCTTGGCCACCAGACCAGACACCACATACATGCCAGTGCCCACACAGCTGCCAACGCCAAGAGAGATAAGGTCCATGGTGGTGAGCACCTGGGCGAGCTTGGTGCCATGTGCCGTAGTGGCCCCCGTTCCCTCCAGCATGGACTCCACTGGTTTGGTGCGCAGAATCCTGGAGTGCATGGCATACCAGGCTGACCCCCACTGCACCCGCCGGGGGTCCATCGAGGCCAGGAAGCCGCTCATCTTGAGTAATAGGAGTTGCAGTGAAGATCAGCTGATGGAAGAGGGCTACAGAAGACTTAGTGGATGGTTCTGGAATTCATCTAGTGAATAGGGATCTCCCTTTTAGGAAAGGTCCACAGCAGAGCAGCCTTCTCCTGGGCATGAATATCTGCACATACACAAAAAGAACACAAGAAAGGAGAAGATGAGACCCAGTGGGAAACAAATGATGACTTGGAGGTGTGGTTGAAGCGCACATCAGAGCTCGTTTGTCCTCTGTGCCAATAACATGGAAGGTACCATTTGCCCTGCTGTTCCCCTGCAGTCCTAAGTGACAGTCTGAAGCTTCTGTGTTGCATAGTTGTTCTGAAGGGGTGCAATGAGGCAGGGCTCTGTCRCTTAAGCTCTGAAACCTTGGGTAAGTCATTTCTCTGTGCTTCCAYCTCAACTGTCTAATGGGACAATGAAGTCTTCTAGTGCTCATGTGACCATTAGATGAGCATATGTCTATAAGGAGCTTACAACAGCGCCAAACATGTGGAAAATGCTCCTCTGACTCAACTCTAAGTTCTYCTTTCTTGGCTCTGCCAAGACTTCACCTATGATTCTTCGGCAGGCTCTGTGGGGTCATGATACCTTTATTTTTTACACCAGGATTTGGAATGAGACCTATGATTCTCGGAGAGGGGTTACGCCACCCACGGGGTCATTTTGAACTTGGATTTCAAATAAAATGAAAAATGTCTTGGGTGCTTTTTGTTCTTGAAGATTAGGGTGGCAAAGAGTACCTCCTRGCATTTGGGGCTGGGGCAGAGACAGTAAATTTGTAGGACAGTGTCCCATCACACAGCTTTCAAATATCTTGCCTGACATTCCTGTAGATGAGCAACCTGGAAATGATGATCTAAGGCTAGAACAATGTTGGATTGTTTTAATATGCAACTACATTGAATTCTCCAGGAAGGTAACTACAGGGCTTGGTGGTAGAGCACTTGCCTAGCACATGGGAGGCACTGGGTTCGATCCTCAGCACCTCATAAAAATAAATAAATAAAATAAAGGTATTGCATCCATACATATATGAAAGTAACTATAGATAAATCAAAGGAAAGTCATAATTTGTTTACTTTAGGACTTAAGATGAATTGCCCACCATTTCGGAAAAACAACACTCCACGCAGTGCCACTCATGGTTTGTGTATGTCATTCACACCCCTGTAACAGCCTGTCATTTGGAACTGGCACATTTGCAGTGATTCTTCATATTTTTCAAGCATCTGACAACTTCACTTGGATATGCCTGGAAATTTACATACTGAAATAYGTTGGATATGGGTAGGTTATCCATGAACTCCACTTCAGTATACTACAGAGGACAAAATATTTATTATACAAAAGGATGCTGGGTCCTATAGAGTTGAGAACTATAATTTTAGGTGATTTCTAAAATTTTGTCAAATTAGAAAACACAAATATTTTATGAAGCTACTTTCCTTGGAAGCCAGAGACTTTATAAGTAAGATTCTATAAAGAATTTTTTGCCGTCTAGCCAAACATTGATTCCAAGTACTATACTGTTAAGCGTAGACATTAACATGTAAAATAAGTACCTGCTTACATAATCTACTATTATTAATTAATACTACTTAKCACTTAATGTAGCACTTATCTGTTTCTGAAGGCTTTGCAAACACTATCTAATTAGGAAAATCAGGTGTGTGCGGCAGTTTGGTTCACAGGGGTGGGGTGACAGCCCTTCTGGTTTCATTTCCTCCTGGAGTCTAGAGTGTCTGCATTTCCCCTTCTCCTCATCGCCCCCAATCTCCCCCTGCACCTCCTCCTCTTCTACCAATATACCAGGGAGGCTTCTAGAACTGCTTTAGTTGTAGTCTTGTGGGGGAAAAGAGTGAACCTCTCTATTTAGTTTCAACTCATTCAGCATGAACTGAGTATTTATTAACTGCCAAACATGGTGTTAGGTGCTTGATTCAGCATGAACTGAGTATTTATTAACTGCCAAACATGGTGAACTGTTAGTCTGGGATGGTAGATGATGCCCACCTGCTTCATCCTGCAAATGAGAAGCCTTATTTGTTTTTTTTTTTTGAGAGGCTCGTCTTTTGTTATTTTTTTTTTGATTATAGAAGCATTGCATGCCTATTGCAGACAAGTGAGACAGTGTAAATAATAAAAAATGAGTAAATAAAGTACTATGACTAGCAATAGCCCACCAGCCCCTGCTTTATTTTCTTTTAGACCCTTTTCTGCAAAAAATATGTGTAAGCATATATTTGTATGTATATGTGTGTGTGCGTGCGCTTTATAAGTAGGATTATATTACTTATTATGATTTAAAACTTTCTTGTTTTGCTTGACAGTATGTTAGAATGTTTTCTCATATCTATGGTTATGGAACTATTTTAAATAACTGCATAGTCACTTCATAATTCTGGCTTCCCCAGTATTCTTACTCAGAAAACTGACTTGTTGTCTTGGCTTTATTTCATTCATTTATTCAAGAAAATGTGCACAGCGTCTTCTCTGTGACAGCCAGCCTTGGGCATCAGTTGCTGGGGTAAATAAGATATCCCTGGTCCTGCTTTCCTGGAGCTGATGTTTGGTGAGGAGAGACAAAATACATCCGTCAACAAATGAACATAAGGGCTATATTATCGGTGGATGATGTCTCTCCCTCAAATTCATATGTGGAATACTAACTCCCAATGCCTCAAAATTGTGGCTTAAATAAAAACAAGACTACTGTTTTCCTTAGGATGGTTTCTTTCATGCTGGAGTAGGGTGGGCTCTTAATCCAATATGATTGGAGTTCTTTTAAAAAAGGGACATTTGGACACAGACATACAAGGACAGTACCATGTGTATATGAAGGCAGAGGCTGGGGTGAGGGTCTATAAGACAAGGAACACCAAGGATTGCTGCTCAATCACTAGAAGCTGGAAAAGAGGCAGGGAGCAGATTCTTCCTCACAGTCCTCAGAAGAAACCAACTCTTGATACCTTGACATTGGCTTCTAGCCTCCGGCATAGCATTGTTAAAACCAGCCAGTGTGCAGTACTTTGTTATAGCAGCCTTAGAAAACTAGTACAGGCTCTAGAGGAAATAAAACAGGCTGATGAGAGGCGGAACAGTCTCCAAAGACAGGGCAYTGGCTCCTGAGTGACCATAAGGAGCCAGTCGTGTCAGAGGGCAGAGTAAAGGTGGGGTCTCCCCAAAACTGTGTGACTCCTACAGGGCAGGGAGGAAAAATTTGAGTGCCCTAAGTTAGCTGAGTGTCAACTAACTTAATCTTCACAACAAATTTGCCTTTGTAGAGGAGGTGATGGAGGCCAGGAGAGGGTAGTCTCTTGCCCACAGTCAAGGTTTCCAAGCTCTTAAGGGACAGAAGCAGAACATGGCCTTGGGCATCTGCTTACAGAGCTCACATCTGGACTGCTGGATCTCCTGCTGGAAGTGCATAGGGGTCAGACTGCTGAGGAACAGGTAAGCCAAGATAAGCAGCTTGAGTTTGACTCTAAACGCTGTGAGAAGCCATTGGAGGGTTTTGTTACTTCTCTAAAAGTAGCTGCTGTGCAAAGTTTAGCAGAAGAGTCATGCCCTGAGGGACACTTTAAATCAGTCCTGGGATGGACATATGTGAAAGGTGAGTGGGGTACGGGTTTGCTGTAGAGGGAGGCTGCTATGTGAACACAATCTCTGAGCCAGTGCCAGTGCAATTCTGCAGCCAGAGCAGAGCCCGCACATAAAGGGGTTGCACACAGGAGAGRGACAGATAAACTTTCACAGGATGGAGAAGGGCCTCCTGGGCCACATGCTTTTGGAAACAAGGAGAGCGATCCCACGGCAGGGCATGACCATGGTAAATGCAGGTGGCTTCACTCCCAGCTTTTTGAGGAGTGGTGCATGGGTTTCCTCATYTTTAGGCTTCTTTGCAGTGGTCTCTTGATACACATTGGGATCACCCAGGGAGTTTTCAGAAAATCTGGGGTCTCAGCATCATCCAGAGATTCTGATTCAAGTTGTATGAGGTGTGGATACATATAGGGATTCTTTAAAGCTYTAGAGCAACAAAGCTGAGGCCCCATGTCCCTTGCAGGCTTAATGACTCAAGTGGGCCCTGGTGTCCCACAGATACCTCTTGTTTYCTGTCCTAGCCTGGGCTGGTGGTGGGGTCTTTCTTCAGCTCTTCTCTGCGGGCAACCACTCTGGATACTGCACGGGTATCCCAGGATACTTGTCCTGCTCAGCCCTTAATCAGACACCATCCCAAGAACACTGAGAAATAAACCAGGCCTATTAGGGAGACAACAGGTTCTATTCGCATTCCATATACGTGGTAATTAGAAATCAGGGTGAAAATGKGGATAATTAACTGAAACAAAGATGGAGGGTGACAAGAATTCCGTGCTGGCTCAATTCCCTTCACACAATGCAGCTGAGCTCTGGCTTTATTGATGCAAACAGGGGTTTGGGGGCATTTCCTTTCTTGGTAGGAAATTTACTGGAGAGAACAAAATGTACAAAAGAAAACATGCTTCTAGGTGACTATTGACAATATCCATATTCATTACCCCCAGAATATGTTAATCAAAGACAGTTTTGGAAGCTTATTGCTGTTGTCTTTCCAAGATGAGCAATAAATGCGTGTTGTGCTTTCTCTAGCACTTTAATTCAAGTTTCTCAAAATACTTCACTGCTATAACTAAGGAAGGCTTATGAGGCCTCTGGGAGGGGACAGTCATCATTGTGGTGTTTGCTGGCATGTCTGAGGGTTCATGGGCTCCAAGTATAATGATGGTAAGAGCAGGTTTGTTTCAGAATGCAAATGATTATGGTTTAGAAACTCACTGAAGAGGAAGGATTTAGAACGAGATTAGAGCCTACCTTTGGAGGTGAGGAAGGGAARAAAATGAAGGCTAACAAAAGTAAACAGCGAAAAAAATATCATTCCTGCCTGATTTTGCAAATACACCAASGGATTACAAAACATTCCTGGTGAATAGTAGACCAGGCTTTGCCAGAGTATCTGRGGCAGCAGAGAACATTGGCTGATGGAGGCAGCCCCTGTGCATGGTTGGACAGTTATGAGGGCTGCAAAATCCTTCTCATCAATGTCCCCAAGTGAAATGAAGTAATAGAGTAAAAGTAGCT